GCACGTCGACACGTGCCCCAGGACCTTCTTGGATATATTTCTGCCCCAGCACGACGCGGCTGGTCCCGGTGCTGTATAACACCGTAGCCTAAGGGCCAACGGGTCTTCCAGAAGAAAGACGTCGCTGGCTCTTGGCTTCCTCCGGCAATACGAAGTACTGGACCTTGGCACCACGTTGAGTTGGCCGGCATTGCCATGGCTTTTCGGTGGTGGCAGCACTGGTGGTGTATGCCTGCACGGCGCCCTGCCCTCTGCGGGGTATCTCCCGCACCACCCCAGTTGGCCTGTTCTTCTGACTTGTCTCACCGTACATGGAGTGGTGGGGAATAGTGGCAAGGCACCCGGCGGTACAGCACAGCAGCACCAGCAACAGCAGTGTGAGCACCGGGGGGTGCGAAGAATAGCGGCCCACCACGGCGCGCGCGCACGGAGTGTGCATAACTGTGTGTTTTCGCTGAGAAGCTTCTAAAAGCTGTGTGCGGAATGAAAAGGGGAAAAAGGAAAAGAGAGAATAAGGTAAAACAAGTGTTACACGTTAACCGTTGAGCAATACATACAGACCGGCAAACGGCTCAACTAGCACCGACATCCACACACACACAGACACACACATATCCATATTTTTCCAACCAAAAGAAGCTACTGAATCTCAGTCGAAACAGTATATTGATATTGAAAAACTCTTATTGATGATGCCCAAAAAGTAATGGGTCCAACACACACACACACACACACACACACACACACACCAAATATGCATGATACGGTGCACTGAAAAGGATCCAATATGTTGACAGATGCGCCTGATTTCCTTGTTGTGTTAGTTGCATATGCGTCGTTCAGATCTGCAGAGGGAGTTGAAGAGTGTTGGAGAGTTGTGCCACGTAGAGAAACCGCGATGTAGCACTAACTTGCAGGTGTTGCTCACAAAGGCACCACCACAGCGACAACGCTGGCAAAGATGAGGAGCAGAAGGGGTGCATGCCCAGCAGGAGTCACAGTGCCATCGCCAATACCAATGTTCAAAGTAATCGTGTCACTGTTGTTAGGCACATGTGCTGCTGGACCTTTACCATTGGTAGCCAAGTTGTTCTTTGTATCGTTGTCGATGTGGGTGGTGGAACCAAACAGGCCGTCTCTTTCAGAAGTATGGTGTCCCGATGAGTCAGTGGGTACATTAGGATTAGACGAAGTTAGTTCTCTCTCAACATGTGGTGCCCCAACAGTTTCCATGGTTGGTTCTGGTGTTGGATGGGGCAGAGGGGACGGGTCTTTGGGTTTGATGGGCCACGTTATGTTCGCGGGAGCAGGCTCGTTGTCCTTGTCGGTGACCTCGGGCAAGGGCTCCTTATTGGTGATGTTGGGGTACCTGGTGCACACATCGGCGTACTTGGGACACGTAATAGTTCCAGACCAGTTAGCACTGTTCGATTTAACATGCGCCCCCTCCTCGCACTGGTACCACTCATCATCACCTTGAAACTGCACGCTCAGCTTGCCCTCCTCCTCACACTTCGTATTCACACACACATCGCCAATGGGTGTTGTCCTATACTTTAGTTCATTGCCCTTTACGCAGCGTGCATCCGGGCCAACAAAGCTTCCAATGATCGTCGACCGTCTGCCATCGGTACAATCACCATAACGGACTTTCTCCACATAGGGACAGTAGTCCATCCAGAATTCCGTGCCGCCAAGGTGGGCGTTCCACAGGTACTGGAAGTGCGGCTCAATCACCTCAGGATATGTTTTTCTTAAGCACTGCCCAAGAGCCATACGATCATAGGTGCATTGTAAATACCCTTTGATCCTCACAGTTGCAGTGCAGAATATATCGGGGAAATTCGACGTTTTATTTTCTATGCACTTCTTCTCCAGAAAGTCACAGCCGGAGTTGTTGGCCCACCTCAATGGCTCTGCCCTGCTGAAATTTGCCTTGTAAAATGGCATGTCATCAAAAACTGCTAGTGTCAGTGCGCTGTAGGATCCTCCTCCAGGGGCTTTAGGTGACATCAGCTCACCCCGAACGTTGCGCATTTCAAAGTGCGATAGAGCACTGTTACCCTGGTCCTCCAACTCCAGGCCAGGGGCCTTGCTGCAGTTGTAGTACTTTTGTGCTACTTCTTTTGCCTTAGGAGACACTACCAGAAACACGTGGGGCTTGCCCCGCACATCGTTTTCAACGGCAGAAATCATCTTGAGATGAGCAAACGTCGTGCCATCAAAACCAAGACCATGTGCAATTTCATGTGCAACTGTA